AAGGAATGGGAGTATAAAGAATGACTAAAATCTTTAAGTCCCACGGCAACATCCAGGGAGTAGCAACATCCAAACAGTGTAGAAGGATGCTGGGGTAGGAAGTCTCCCTGTCTTGGTTCTGGGTCTTTCTCCCTCTGTGCTTCCTTTATCCTGACCTCAAAGGTTAAGGTCAAGAAGAGCAGCCACCGTCACCCTTTACTCATGACTTGACCCTCGGTCTTCTCCCAGATAGTGCTAAGGTCTATTTGCAGACTTTGGGTCAGCAAAGTTTTGCTAAGTTGGGGGTAAGGGGGGGAGAATCTGGGTGCCATATCTTGTTCCCTGAGCCTCTACTACTCAACTAGAATTCAAATCTAATTCTTTGAACATCTTGGGTTGCCTAGTTGATGTCAACTTGACACAAGCTAGCATCACACAGGAAGAGCTTTCAGTTGAGAAAATGCCTCCATAAGACTGGCCTGCAGGCAAGTCTTTAGCAGTACATTTTCTTGATTAATGATTGATGTAGGAAGGCCCAGCTAACTGGAGGTGGTGTCACCCCTGAGTGTAAGAAAGCAGGCTGAGCAAGGCATGGGACCAAGCCAGTAAGCAGTGTTCCTCCATGGCCTCTGCTTCAGTTGTTGCCTCTAGGCTCCTGCCCTGAGTTCCTGCCCTGACTTCTCCCAGTGATGGACTGTGACCTGGAAGTACACGATGAAATAAATCTTTTCTTCCCTTGAGTTGCTTTTGGTCATGATGCTTATCACAGCAGAAGAAACCCTAACTAAGACACATATCTTTTGTTAACCTGTAGTTTGAGGAGACTAGACCTTGTTACAGGCAGCCTAATATAGAGAGAAAATCCGGGGGAAAGGTGGAGGGAAATAGCCAGAATTTTGCTGGTCTCGTTGGCATGTGCTTCCAACTTTTCTTCCCATAGCTCCATCAGTCAAGGCCTCTGAGTTTGTTTAACTGTGCTGTAAGTAACACTGTAGCCATGGTGCATATTGAGGAATCCAATCCCCCTGTCTCAACACTCAGCTTTTGGGAATCTTACACACTGCTAGAAATATGTAATATATGGCAATTTCCTGTCCAAAGAAGATTCCAAGTTCAAAATCACACAAAAGAGTGTCCACCCACACAAAAGGTATTTTCTTCTTTTTTCCACCTTTTACTTTGAAATAATTTTAATTTCGGGTATTGAAACTACACACACACACACACACACACACACACACACACACACACACACACACACACACATTGCTTTTTGCATCCTTAGATGGTTCTTACCCGAAATGCTCATGTGCTGGTTTTCTGACCCCATCATCCCTTCTGTTTATGAACTGAAACTTTGCAGCCAGCCCTTCCTTTACTTCTATATTTATTTTTGTAAATTATTTGTGTTTATCAGCCTAATCTCATGCCTTCTGCCTTATTCAATGGGTTATAACCTATTATTATTACTATGTTATACACACACATACACACACACACACACACACACACACACACACACACACACACACACATAAAAGTACCCCAGGATTGGGTCCTGGGAGCCCCATCAAAGAAGGTTTTATGTCCTTTGACTCACCTCTGTCTTGCCTTGAGCAGTTTCTTTATGGCATGTCAAGATGTCCCAGGCACATCTGTTCATTTCTTCAATGAATCCTGTTCATTTTTTTTTCTTGGAAAATTGTATCTAGAATCTGAGAGCTGAGATCTGGGAGTTCTCACTGCCTTTTAGGGCATCATTTCTGTTAGATGCTCCAAGTAAGCAGATCTAAGACATTACTTACACACACACACACACACACACACACACACACACACACACACACACACTCCTCTTTCTATTTTCCTCTGTAGAAATATGAGAAGCCATAAGCATATAGTACCTTCAACTCCCAACCAAACCCACAGGCTTTCATTCTGGCTTTCCTTTTAGTACTCGGTTATTTCTTTACCTAGCTTACTCTTTAGATTTCTCAGCCATCTTAAATATTCCCTTAAGTGTCTGGATACAGTTACAAAAGTGAGACATCCTTTCTTTTCCTTCTTACACTCTCACCCTTGTGACTTTCTGTAGTAATCTAAACTGTTATCTACTACATTGTAAAGGCATCTGAAGGAGGTCTCATTTCTTCTCTACGCTCCACATTATTTAGAGGCTCTTTTTGAGTAGCTTTTATACAGGGTATGGAATGACATCAACTATATCACCTATTAGCTAATTCATCTGTAATTTTTTCTACACATTTATGTTCTGTCATTTTTAACCTAATTTAATTTTGAACAGAAAGCATCAGCACTCCATTGTGTAATTTAACAACTTCAATCCATTTACTGAAAAATGAAAAATGCAAATGTTTTCCAAAGATTGGTTGTGAAAACTCTGAGTAAGGATGCTATCCCCATGTTGAAGACACCATAGAAAAGCCCAAATATAGCTTTTCTTTACACGCAGTATTCCTCTCTTCAATACCTTAAGTTTGTTTGGCTTGGGTCCTCGACTATTGCTGTTGAACAGTATCTCAGACACATTAGTCATCATTGCCTAGGAGCTGAGATGCACTGAAACACCAAGGATGGAAGATTTGCTAAACAGAATACAGCTACGGGATTTTCTGTTCCTTTACATCACTGGAATCTCAGGTGCCAATCACAGAAATTCATATTCATTCAGTGTAAGAAACATCTTCTGGAGGACCAGCTCTGTATATTAGAAATGAAAAAGGTTGTTCTTAGAGTATATGAACTCACTGGTACATATAAACCCAAGAATTTTTTTCTTTCTCCCTCTCTCTTTGGTTGTTTTAGACTGGGTTTCACTCAGTAACCCAGGATGGCTTGGACCTCACTATGGAGCCCAAGTGGGGCTTGTGACAATCATCCTGCCTCAGCCTCACAAGTTCTGTAGGTATGAGCCACCTTGTCTGACTGTTCAAACTGTATTTCTAAATTAATCAAACATCAAAAGAATCAACCAGTATGTGGAGTGACAATGTCACTAGGTAGCAGAGTCCCCACCACGCACAAAGCTCCAGGTTCAATCCCAGCACCACAAACAAAATGAACTACAAATAAATTTAAAATTTCTGACAAAACACTTTATCCAGCAGTTTAGGTGGGGCTGTTACAAAACTGCATTTTTTAAAAAATGAGAAGTCAAGAGGCTGGAGAGATGGCGCAGCAGCTACAATCACTTGGTACTCTTCCGAGGACCCATGTTCGCTTTCAGAACCCACATGATGGCTTACATGTGGGAACTCTAATTCCAGGGGATCCGATGCCCTCTCTGGCCTCTGAGGGCACTGTATGCATATGTTGCTTATGAATACATGCAGGCAAAGCGCCAATACACATAAAAACAAATTAAAAGTCAGTAAGTTCACTATAAGGTTCTGGGAAGAAATATATTTGGAAAGTATAATAGATGCCATAGGATAACAAGATTATCAGTAAAGTAAAAGGTACAGGCCAGTGAGAGAACCTATCTCGAAAACAAAAACAAAAAAAGAAAAGAAAAAATGAATGACCCCCTAGGAATGAGACCTAAGGTTGACCTATGGTTTTCATGTACGAACACATCTGCAATACACATGAACACCTGCAATTAATATGTGTACACACACACACACACACACACACAAATACATACATACACTTAAAAAGGGAAGAAAAGATAGACATTCATTACTTCAATTTCTGTTATATAAGTCGAATCCAGACCCAGTACAAATATAGAAACTATAAACCAAATATATTATAAACCTATATGTAAAAGTCACCAAGAAAATATTAGCAATTTAACCTAAAAGTTAATGAACAACATCCCATATCAAGAAACTTTTCCTTCAGGAATTTGTGAATAGTTCAAAAGTATGGAATTTATTAGGTAAGCCTGTGGAGGCAACCTCTACGATGGCCCTCAATGGTGAGTGCCTACAGCGGGAATTTGTTCGGTAGCAAATAATAATGCCTAACAATCCTGACATGAACTGTCATCTCCAAGGGAAAGCCCACATAAGTTGGCTTTGTCTTTCCATAAATTCCTAACAGTAGTTCTGTGATCGTTCGATAGTTGCTATCTAGGGGGAACATCTGCTATTCTAGAGAAGAAGCTAGCATTTCTCAACTCTGTCCTGTGTGAGATCTGTTTGAGATGCGTTCACCATCAAGAGTGGATCTCTCTGAAATATGTTCCTCCATATTGTATGACTTTCCCAGAACAGCTGCATCTCTTTGGAGGAGACCTGCATAACCTTCCTTCTCCTGACTAGCATGTTTTTAGCTTAAAGAATTATGAAGCCACCTGAGTCCACACACCCCTGCCACATGCTCTAGTTATTCTTGCCAGTTAAGCTGGTGTTTCAATCAGAACTGGTTCTAAACCCCAGGTGACATGTAGACAATTATTCATTAAATCCCTAAAAACCTAACACATGCTAATAAAAAAAATCTTAGTGTTCCAGGAGCCAAAGATGATTTTCTTGATAGGACAAAGAGTACCTAGAAGAATCCATGGGAATCACGATATTAAATACCATCAAACAATAGTTCACAAGTGGGACTGTTTCAGGTGAGTGAGATGTATATTTCCCCTTTATGATCTTACATGACCTACATCCCTGCTACCTACCATCACACATCACCTCTCTATCCTACCCTCTGTCTCTGTTCTGTCCAAATAAAGAGACCTCTTCACTGTATTCCAAATATGCTAAGCACACTCCCACCACAGGGCTCCTCCATTTGTGCGTCCTTCTAATTGGAATGTTCTTCCCCAGATGTGTGCATGGTTAGTGTTCTGTGTTTTCCATCTCTGTTAAACATCCGCATAGTTTTGAAGCCCCCGTTCACCACTCTGTAAATTCAGCAACCTCACTTCCAATTCCCACTCTGTGTGTCCTTTTTTTTTTTTTTGAGCTGAGGATCGAACCCAGGGCCAAGCGCTCTACCACTGAGCTAAATCCCTAGCCCCAAAATATTTTTTTTTTTTTTTGGTTTTTTGAGACAGGGTTTCTCTGTGTAGTTTTGGAGCCTGTCCTGGATCTCGCTCTGTAGACCAGGTTGGCCTCGAACTCACAGAGATCCGCCTGCCTCTGCCTCCCGAGTGCTGGGATTAAAGGTGTGTGCCACCACCGCCCACTGTGTGTCCTTTCTTCTTTCTGAAGATTCCCTACTTTGTCACTCTTTGTTACGATAGATGTTTGTGTTGTAGTGTTTACGATCTGCTTTTTTTTTTTCAAAACCCACAAGAATGTGAGCTCCAGAAGGGTGGACACTTGGACTTTGTCATGATTCTATCTCATCCCCCTGAACAGTGCCTGCCATACAGGAAGAACTAAATAAATAACCGTGGAAGGTATAAAGGTATACTCAAATGGTTCCTGCCAAGAGACAAGGGAGATGTTTATGTTTGACTCCATCTCCATCGTGTGAAACAGGAGTAATTTATCAGTAAGAAGTGTGGCCATACCACCTTTTCTCACAGCCTGACAAAACCATCCATTCCCAGGCAACATCAACAGAACCGAAACCCAGAAAACCACGGAACTGAGAATGATGGACTGGTCCCAGGTGTTTAATGCTTAGATCCGCTTTGCAACCTGATAATTTATTTGCTCTTCCCTTTACTCTTGCAAGAACAAAAGTTTTCAGGGAAGAAGTATTGCAACACAGCATGTCAGTTTGGAACATCCTTTCCATTACCTTGACGGTTTGGGAAGGAAGAAAACAGTTGCTGGATTTGGGTCACAGAACACTGGAGAGTTCTGCTGACTGGGAGCTGAAGTACTGAGATAATCAATCACAACCCACTGAACTAAGGAGCCCTTAGGGGATGCAAACCAGGATGTTGGGATACAAGATGCTTGAGATTTGCCCAAGGAGGCTGGGCTCCAGTAACGTGGACCCTAAACCCATCTACAGCAAAATCAAGAGTTTGTTTGCTCAAGCTTATCAACACTGAGACTTGTATAAAATATACATCAGTTTAATAAAGGGAAACTGGTGTCTAATATGTTAGAATTGCGTTATCAATTATAGTTACGAGTTTAATCTATTACTTTGATTTGTTAGCTTCCCATACATGTTTACTAATTGTTCTTTCTTTTCTATATTTCTGCTTTCCTCTTGTGTTGATGTACCTATTGTATTCATCTTTTTATTCTTGAATCATTATGGCTTTTCCTGTATGTAAGGATTCTTGTGTTGTAGACGGTCATGTACCTTCTATTTTGGCTTCTGATTATTGGTTTTTGATACTTTGAAGAATGGACACTAAATAATCTCCTTTGACTTGTATATAAATATATAAAGGCTTCCATTCTGATGGAAACCTATCTTTGTGCCCCTGTGGTGAGGATTAAGGTGTGCATGTGCATGACCCAGTTTTAATCAAAGTCAAGAGCTTTGACTTAGATACTAAGAGGAGAGGAAAATTAACAGTAGAATTAGCTACAGAGGGACATTTTGGAAACCTCCTACTACAGATCACAGGAAATGGATGTTTGGAGTATCCACTTTAATTTTCATTCTTTGGGGTGGAGGCACAGATCAGCTCATCCTCTTCTGGCTTTGAGTGCTATCAGATCTTCTGGGGGAAGGCAGAGTGAGACGAGATGTATATCCACTGCTGGTCCTACCTTTGATTTCAGTTTGCCATTTTGATCAGGTCATGTGACTGCCTTATTTGTGGGTCTTGACTCGCTCCTGACCACAGAGAACAATGGTAGAAGTTCCTGTACTTACATTTTTTGCGGGTGACCTGTTGTTAATTTGCTCTGACTTGCTTTCCTTTGAATGGTTGTCTTGTAGGACTTGGCGTGCTGTAGGCTCTCTGAAATAGGTCACTGTGTCACTGTGCATGCTTCTGGCTTCAAAGCTTGAGTCATAGCTAGTCAGCTGCCTTCTGAGAGTCAGGGAATGGTGACTCGGATGCTCTCCACTCCACAGCTGTTTCCCCTCCAGGGTCAGATCCAAGCAGGCCGTGGCCCTTTCCTCTTGCTCCACATGGCCATGTGTCATGCTTAGGTTCTGCTTGTCCCTGGCCAGTTCAGGAATTTAGGAAGTCTGTCTTCTTTGATGAAAAGGAAAATATGAGGAGACAGATCATTAAGTGAGTAAATAGACTCTCTTCACTAGAATTATAATGTAATTGGAGATTGTGGTCAGGAGATGATCACCTATTAGAAAGGCATTTTTCTCATTCTTTCTCCTCTGAAATCCACCCCAAAACATTTCTCATTTAGACTAAGTTGAAGCTGTGTGTTGACACAACTAATAATATGATTAATTATTAACATTAAGATTAATATACTAATATGTGTACAAAGACTAGATTAAGTCTTTTGGCTTTATACAAGTAGCCGATAGCAACATTGTCTCTAGCCTAGACTCTCAACACCTACTGTGTTGCCTGATGTCTGACACACATCTCCTTGGATTTGAATATTCCAGAAACATCTACTTCACAATCCTGAAAGGCATACCCAATAGCCACTTAATTAGATGGCCAATCCCAAGAAAGACAGGGTGCATCATTACAGAGAATGACATATGGTGTGTCTGACCAGTGGAGAGGTAGAAGAGAAGATGGCACCATGATACCCCAGATCTTTTGTCCCAGACTGAGTCTTGCGGAAACAGTGGCAGCAGTGTGGGGGCCAAAGACAGGGCACCAGGAGCCAGAACACAGCACAGATTTCTTGGTAGTGAACCACACCATTTTTCTAAGTCTACTACCCTCAAGAGGGGTATGGCCCTAGGGGAAAGGGAACAACAGACCAGATGAAGATGGAATCATAGCTGAAGCTGTGGGCTAACTATCCTATCTCATTTCACCTTAAATTTTAAAAGCATACAGATTTGATTGATATACAGAGTGTTGTACATATTTAATGGCTAAAACTTGATGAGTTTTCCCATTAAAATCAAAATGCCAGATATGAGACAAAGTCATGACTTTGAAAATTGATTGCCTGAGGACTTGGGGATATGGCTCAGTGGGAGTATTCTTGCCTGTTTTGCCTTGTATATTTGAGGACCTACGTTTAATCTCCAGCACAGTAAAAAAATTAAAGGTAAACCATTTGTCTAATTCCAAATTCCTCATGATTCCAGTGGTCCAAGCAAGGAACCTCTCTCAGTGTGTTATTATTTTAGTTTATCTTTTTGCACAGGAAAGATACACAGTGAAAAATATTCAAGGGTGCTTCGGAATCAGCTTTTTCCAACTTCTCCAGGCTGTCCTCTCCTCTCAATTTCAGATTCTCAATGAGCAAGTCCTAATTTCTGTGAGCTGCTCAACCTATACATGATTGCTGTTTGTCTTTGCAAAGACAAGAGAGGTAATAGACGAGTTGGAGAAGGATATTCACAGGCAGGGGCCTGGGTTCGAGTAAGAAAATGGAGGATATCTTATCCAAGGGGGATTTCCTAAGAGCCGTGAAGATGCCAAAGTTGTCCTGACCACTTCTGCGACAGCAGACAAGCACCCAGGAGTGAAGATACCTGAGTGTGATCACCTTTCTGCTTGGGGAACCTTACCTACATTGTTTGGACAGTCAGATGAACCCTTTGTTCAGGGTTCTGATGCCCAGATAATCTAAGTGACTCTAGATGTGTTGATAGTTTAGGGAAACACCTAGTATATGGCCAAGTTTTATTTAGCTTATCTTACAAATACCTACTATTGCCCTGGGTCCTGGGATTCTCCTATTTGGATTCCCAATATACCTCATCCAAATTTCTTTCCTTTTTTAATTAATTAATTTATTTTATATTCTGACCACAGCCTCCACTCCCTCCCCCACCTCCCCTCTGTATTCATTCAGAAAGGGGCAGGCCTCCCATGGGGATCAGCAAAGCATAGCTTACCAAGCTGCCATAAGACCAAGCACCTTCCCCTGTATTCAGACTGGGCAAGGCAGTTCAGCATGAGGAATAGGTTCCCAAGAGTCAGCCAAAGCACCAAGGACAGCCCTGCTCCCACTGCCAGGAATCCTACAAATAAACTAAACTACACAACTGTCACATACATGCAAAGGGCCTAGTTTAGTTTCATGCAGGCCCCCTGCTTGTTGGTTCAGATTCTGAGTTGCCATGAGCCAGGCTAGCCATTTCGCTGGGTTTTCCTCTGATGTCCCTGATCCCCCCTGGTTCCTATAAAGAACTGCCAGAGGTATCACCATCCCTGATCTCAAGACCTACTACAGAGCTATAATAATAAAAATAGCATGGTATTGACATAAAAGCAGACACATTGATCAATGGAATTGAATTAAAGACCCAGACTTAAATCCATACACCCATGGACACTTAATTTTGTTTTTAAATATTATTTATTTATTTATTTTTACTTTTTAAAAAATGTACATTGGTTTTTTGCCATGGGTTTCAGGTCCCTTGGAACTAGAGTTACAGACAGTTATGAGTTGCCATGTAGGTGCTAGGAATTGAACCCAGATCCTTTGGAAGAGCAGTCAGTGCTCTTAACCACTGAGCCATCTCTCCAGCTCCTGGACACTTGATTTTTTACTAAGAAGCTAAAACTATACAATGGAGAAAAGAAAGTTTCTTCAACAAATGGTGGTGGCATAACTGGATGTCGGCATGTAGAAGGATGCATCTATCACCCTGCACAAAACTCAAATCCAAGTGGATCAAAGACCTCAACTTAAGTTCAGTTACACCGAACCTGATAGAAGAGAAACTAGGAAGTAGTCTTGAACGCACTGGCACAGGAGACCACTCCTAAATATAATACCAGTAACACAGACACTGAGAGCAACAATTAATAAATGGGACCTCTTGAAACTGACTAGCTTTTGTAGGACAAAGGACACAGTAAATAAGACAAAACGGCAACCTACAGAATGGGAAAAGATCTTCACCAACCCCACGTCTGACAGAGGGCTGATCTCAAAAATATATAAAGAACTCGAGAAACTAGATATCAACAAACCAAATAATCCAATTAAAAAATGGGGTAAAGATCTAAACAGAGAATTCTCAACAAAGAATCTCAAATGACAGAGAAACACTTAAAGAAATGTTCATCATCCTTAGCCATCAGGGAAATGCACATCAAAATGGCTCTGAAATTCCATTTTACAGAATGGCTATGAAACAAAACACAAGTGACAACTTATGCTAGAGAGGATGTGGAGCAAGGGGGACACTCCTCCATTGCTGGTTGGAGTGCAAACGTGTACACTCACTTTGGAAATCAACATGGAGTTCTCACAAAATGGGAATCAACTTAGCAAGATTCTTAATCAGTTTCATTCTGTGAGTCTTGGCTCTGCTCACAACTTCTCATTTTAGGACCTTCTGCCTTTGGAGCCTGCTCTCCAAAAGCTGATTTTTACCAAAATATTCATTCTTGTAGCTCTTGGAGTCTCTCGCCCCAAATTACTGTTTCTTTTTTAAGTTCAAGGAATAAAATGTGTCTTCTCTGCTCCTGCAGTTTTGTTTTTTCTCTCCATCCCTTTCTCTCCAAGATATTCACTTCTTACCTCAGCCCTATTAGAGATGCCTCAACTAGATTAGCTTTTCCAAAACCAAACTGGTAAGTCATGCTTCTCTCTTGGCAGCACAAACTCCTCTGTAGCCAGTGAATAGGACAGCAAACTTGAGTGTGAATGAGATGTAAATTAACTTTGACAGTAAGTGGTACCACTGTTCTCCACCGTTATCATCATCATCATCATCATCATCGTCATCATCATCATTCCTTGGCCCTAGTGAAGTTGGACATAGCCTTGTGAAACTTACTTTGGTCAGTGGGATATGAGCAGATATCACATGACAACTTGGCCCACAGAAATAAGAACTGCAGGATTTCCTCTAGCTCCCCTTACACCTTTTCCTGAGCCACAAGAAGAGTGTGTTTTACAGAGAGCCTGCTGCTTCAGGCTGCATTTCAGAATAGGGAGGGCAAACGAAGCAGACTAACAGACACCCGACAGTAGTACAGACCTGTAATCTAAAGTCATGCTGCAAGGGTGAGGCACCGGTCTGTTAGTGTAAGCCATGCAGGGATGACTCTAGAGCTGATTAAAACTATCTAGTAAAACACATAAAATAGTCTTCCACATTAGGAAGGCTGTGTCTTATGTTAGTTTTGTTTCTATTGTTGCGATTAAAATGTTGTGACTTAGGCAACTTATAGAAGAAAGTGTTTATTTGGTCTTATGGTTCCAGAGAGAGTCCATGATGGTAGACAGAAAGCATGGTGGCTGGAACAGCCATTGAGAACTCACATCTTAAACCACAAGCAGGAAGCAGAGTGGAGGGGGTCATTAGGAAAGGCATGTGGCTTTGAAACCTCAATAGTCTACTCCCAGAGACACCCTTCCTGCAACAAGGTCATTCCTCCTAATCCTCCTAAAGAGCACCATTAATTGGGGGCTAAGAATTCAAATGTCTAGGCTTGTGGAGGGGGCATTCATTCAAACCACCACAAACAGGTAACTGAAAGCAAGTTCCAAGTGACATTAAGGACTAGCCACGTGACTATCAAAGGGGAACCCATGTCAGAAAAACAAAAGTCAAAGCCATAAGATAGACAGTCTTGGCATGTTCAAAAGAGAGAAGGCAGATGAGAGAAGCTCCAGTGTAGAGAAGAGGTGAATGCAGGTGATACAGAGAACTTACTCCAAGGAGAATGAGCAGCTACCATTAACTGGCCTTTCAATAGACAAGACACGGGATCCCATTCATACAATGATGAGATTACTAGGGCAGATGTGAATGAAAGGGATGAGGTGAAAGGAAACAAGAGCTCCCTTGCAACAAGACTGTGCATAGGGACCAGAGATGATTGTGTCTTGGACAGGAATTTTAGAAGTGAAAGGAAATAAGAGCTCCCTTGCAACAAGACTGTGCAAATGGACCAGAGAGGATTGTGTCTTGGACAGGGATTTTAGAAGTGACATTGATAAGAAGCACCATGGTTTGGAATATAGCTAGAGAGTCAAAGTGTGGGTTGATAGGTTATGTGTAGGATATAAAAGAAATGGTGCATGGCTAACCTCAAAGTTTGCAATTGTAAACAAACACCACTTACTGAGATGGGAAAGGATGAGGAAGGAACTAGCTTTGCAGGAAGACATTTAAGCTCTGTTTGTAGTTACATTTGAGATCTGTATGAATGAGTCTAGATCAGAGGTAGTCATGTCTTTTCTACCAGGAATCATTCAGTCCTAGAGACATGTTCTTGAATAATTTCCCCCAAGCCTCTAAAAGTATAAAGAACATTCTTGGACTATACAGATAATCAGCTACATATAGTCTATGGTTCCCATTTTGTCAGATAACTGTAGCTTGAACTCTAATTGGTCTTAATAATAAAAACCCAGAGCCAGATATCAGGGTAAATGCTGAAAGACTAGAAAGATAAAGGAGCAAGCCACAGCCACCTCTCACCTCACCAACTCCTCAGCCAAAAGGGGGAGATCCTGTCTCTACTACTGAATGGGCTGAGATCCTGTCTCCACCTCCCTAGTGCTGGGATTAAAAGTGTGAGCCACCACCACCACCTGGCTCTCTTTCTCTTTTTTACAGATACAATCTCATGTAGCCTAGGGTGGCCTTGAATTCCTGATCTTTCTGCTTTCTCCTCTCAAGTGCTTGGATTAAAGGTGTGTGCCACCACTGCCTGGCATCTAGTGGCTAGCTCTGCACTCTTATCTCCAGGCAAGCTTTATTTGTGAGAGCACAAACAAAATATCACCACTGATAATAAGGTAGAACTCAGTGACGAAGACAAAGAAAAGCCCACAGATAGTCTGTAAAGCTAGGAGTCCATGAGGTTGTGCAGCTAGAGAGACTAGGTAGAGCATGATTGTGGGTGCCGTAGGCCTCCCAGGTGCTACTATCACCATTAGTGTTTAGACAGACAAAGGAAAAGGCCTCCAAGGTTAGAGGGAAGCTGGGACTGGGATGTATGGATGGATCTGCTATAGAACAATCTTTGTACACTGTAGATATGTATTGCTCTCGTTGTTAATAAAAAGCTGATTGGCCAATAGCTGGGCAGGAAGAGATTGGTCAAGATAGCCTGACACAGAGAGAATGCTGGGAGGAGAAAGGGCAGAGTGAGCAGAGTCACCAGAGATGCAGACAGAAATAAGATGGACATGCTGTACTAAGAAAAGGTACCAAGCCATATGGCAAAGAGTAGATAAGAAATATGGGTTAATTTAAAATGTAAGAGTTAGCTGATAACAAGCCTGAGCTATTGGCCAAGCATTTATAATTAATCTTAAGTCTCCATGGTGGTTATTTGGGAGCAGGCAGTCAGGACAAGAAAATTCTGCCTACATGGATCCAACTCTGTTGTACTTAAGCAACACACAGGACCCTTACCTTGGTACCTTACAGGACAAACAGCACATCTGTCACTCAAGTTCCATGTGGGCTGCAGCAGGCTTGTTGTGCTTGTCTTCAACATCTCCCATCCTTCTCAGTAGTAAAGCAGAGCTTTAGCAGGATAGACTACAGTAGAGGAAACAGAGGCAGGATTGAACCATGTAAGGTTCTCAGAGACTCCAAAACAGAGACCTCGGTTTTCCCACCCATGTCCTGTGCCAAATGCTAGGAAGAGTCACATTCCAGCAAGGATAAGCACAGAACATTTGGAAGTGATACAACATCTTCAAACAGTATGGTGTTCAGGAAGCCTAGACCACAAGTAACTGGAGAAGCAAGACATGTCAGCTATATGGAAGGCTGTTGAGAGGTTGAGTGAGATGATGTCTAAGAAGTGACCACTAGGTCTGGAAATGCAGAGGTCCTATGGCATTTGCAACTGGCACTATTAATGTGTGTTATGTGTGCCAGAGTCACACAATGCAGCACTGTTGTGAGTCTGCTCCCTGAAGAACAATTTCCCTACCTCTAGACTCAGAAAGTGGAGCCGATTAAAAATTGGTGGTGTCTCGGAGGTTCTTGGGAACCCAATAATATAATGTGTCTAGCTACAAAAGTATAAGGTCGCCTCACTTTTTATTTGCATACGTATAATTATATGCATCTTTGTAAAGGAGTCCTTGTGTGAGCAAACAGCAATGATTATAACTTGGGACAAAATTAGAATTTTCTGAGGACAAAGGGAATCATTGAACGGTAAGCTTGCTTGAGTTACGTTCTCTGTATTTCCAATTAGTCAGATGATCTGGAGCCAACATTAGCACTTCTCCTGGATCTCGCTTTACTGGTATGAGATAAATAGGTACTTGAGGAAGTTGGCAAAGGTCAGCACCAGCATGGTGTGGAACTGCAGTGCTGACACTGTGTATCCTCCCCCTTTGAGGACAAAGACAGGAGTCATTTTGATACTGGCAAGGGGTACCTGACAATTCTAAAATCACCACCAGGTCCATATCTTCTCAGGTATTTAAGTTTTTTAAAATGCTTTATTTCTTTCGTCTTATGTGTATGAGTATTCTGCTCACATGTATGCTTGTGCACTGTGTTCATGGCTGATACCCGCAAGGTCAGAAGAGGGTGTTGGGTCCCTTGGAACTGGAGTTAGAGTTGGTTGTGAGCAGCCATTGTGGGTGCTGAGAGCCGAAGCTGAGTTCTCAGTTATGAGCACATGCTCTTAACTGTTAAGCTATCTCTCCAGGTCCTAGTTGAAGATTTTTATATAATTTGGCTTATTTTTACAGCCTGGAATATCAGGATCCATAAGGAGATAATAAACCTATTTGAGTTTAACCATTTTTTAAGAAGCGAATGAAGCCACATCTCTCTCATTTTTTTGCCAAGAAATTATGCAGTCCTAGAGACCTAGTCTTCTTTGATTTTGTTTCCTACCCTCTAAGAGCATAAAAACTATTCTTGGACTAAACAAATAAATAGGTCATATTTAGCGTATGGGCTCCAATTTGTCAGACACTAATGTGGAGTTCAGTGGAGAAGGCAGGGAAACACCCACTAGTCAATGGTCTCTCAAATGATAACTTACAATGTCAATCCTCTGTGGTCAAGGGTTTAATCAATCAGGCTTGCATAATAAACATCAATAAAAACAACTACTGACTGAGTTCATGGAGCCTCTGAGTGGACAATCGCATCCATGTGGCATGGGTCAATTCTACAGGGGAAGAAGATCGTGTACTTAGGACTCCTTGGGGGTCTCACCCTATGAACGTCTTTATTTGACTGTCCAGTTGTACACTTCATAATCAACCATAATACTAATAAAGTATTTTCCTGAGGGCTGAGCAAGTTACTGCAGTGAGTTTTCCAAATCCCTAAATCTGTAGCCAAGTCAGAGAGAAACACAAATACCACAAGAGTTCTGTTTGTGACTGATAAATTAGACGAGATCAGCCTGTAGGACTGAGGCTAACTCTGGGTAGTTAGTGGCGGAGTTCACTTGAATGGCTGGATACCAGCAGGGACCCAGCAAACCAGAGGCTGAAGAAGTCTACTCCATCTCTTACATGAGAATTATGTTCTCTCTTAAACTGGTCATCTCACATTCCTGATTGGCACTTATGACATATCAGGCCAGTAACCTATCACTCTGGCCTAGCCACCTCCACCACTCATCAAAAACTCCAGTTTGTCCAAGTCCATCCCCAGCTGTTATATTGGAAGTTCAGCACGTTTCTCTGTGAGGACAGCATACATGCTAAGATTAAGAAAAAAAAAATAATTAATAGTCACCACTGACTAATTTTATGTCCCTTCAAATTCCTGTGCTCTAGATACTTGTCTGTCAGCTCCTTGGGCAAGGGAGACTAGCTGGAGGAAGCCATTTTATCTTCCCTGTCACTCCAATCGGCTCAGTTCTGGACTGACTGCACATCCTACCTGACAAACACAAAAACCATGAATATCCGTGCCCATCACTCTGCAATTCAGCTAAGGAGCCTTAATTACAAACTGTAGAGCACAGCCTTCTATGCAAAGAGCCTATTGGGAAGTGTTGCCTTCAGTCAGGAGTTCTGGCAGATGGCACGTCCTGTCTGTCCTTATGTATCCAGCCAGCAACATTGAACTTACAGGTCTACGTCTTGACCCCTGGCACAGTCAACACACCTCTTGATCCCAGTCAAGACCTGTGCTTTGAATGGACTGTGCCAGTTTAAAAAAAAAATCACATCACAGTACAGTTCCTATTAGAGGGAAGTAAATTTTAAAACAGATTTTTATTTTTCACATGAACTGTCAAGCCAGTCTCCTCATTTTATATTTATGTGATTGACTTATGAAAGTCTAAATATGGAATTCTGCATTTAGCATAGTTGGCTTTTTGTTTGCAGGAGTCAATGAACCATTTTAATTTGTCAAAAACATTTTGAATTTTTATTCAAATGTGCTGAGATAGGATATTTTAGGCAAAAAATGCATTATCTGATTGACAAAGAAACTTGATCAGTATGTTCGAGAAGTTTCTGTCTTCAAACTCTCAAGGTGTGTTACCCAAACAATAGTCACTGGCCACAGGTAGCTTTTGAGGACTTGAAAAGTGGCCGGTTTGAATCAAAGAGAACTGTGAGCATGAAATACACACGAGACTTCAAAAACTGAGTACCAAAACAGAGAAATATAAAGACCTCATTAGTGACTTTAAAAAATATTGATTATAAGCTGGGTAATCCTGGTGCATTCCTTTAATCTCAGCACTTGGGAGGCAGAGGCAGGTGGATCTCTGTGAGTTCAAGGCCAGTCTGGTTTACAAATCAAGTTCTAGGACTATTACACATAGAAACCCTGGCTTGAAAAATCAAAACATCCGGGCAGTGGTGGTGCACACCTTTAATCCCAGCACTCAGGAGGCAAAGACAGGTGGATCTCTGTGAGTTTGAGGCCAGTCTGGTCTACAGAGCAAGTTCCAGGACAGCCAGGGCTACACAAAGAAACCATGTCTCAGAAAACCAATATGTAATATATATGTTATATATGTTTATATATTATATATGTTGTGTATATCATATTAGAGGTGATACATATTACGTGATAATGTTTTGAATTTATATGGTCAAATAGGTTATGAAGATAAAATTGTCTTATTCCTCGTGCTTGTTAACATATGGCTGCTAAAATTTATATTACATTTGTGCCAGGCATAATTATTTCTGTTGGACTGTATTACTATAGAAGTTGAAGTGGTCCCTAGCTTCCTTCTATTGTAACTGGATAATTAGAATAAGCCGAAATTTATATATGAGGCCCAGTGTTCAGCATATGGACACAACAAGAATATTGAGCAGCCGAAGAGTAGAAGGATGCTAAGAACTGAAAGGGACAGAAGACAGAAAAATAAGAAGCCCAACCAGGCAGGGAGAGGATACTCAGATTGAACAGCCAATTTCTTGCATTTTCTATGTAATATGCTACCACTGTTGATGTTTGAGCTGAATGAAAGTTTATTCATGTGACTTATATAGCCATTTCCCTGAAATCTGCCCCAGAAGAGAAGTCTAGACTATCCTAAGCCCAGCTTGGTACCTCCTTAGTGGCAGAACCCACCCATCCTCTCCCAGCAGAGGAAGAGAGATGTGTGATCTTTCCTGGGTTCCCTGTTACTCTGCACCAGACCCTGCCTCTTCAAGCATTGGTAGTGTTTAGTGACATCAGAATGTCTTCTGCTGAGGTCCCTCCATTCTGTATTTCTAGTCTTCAGATGTCACTTGTCATGCAAAAGCAGAAGCAGAGCTTTTTCAGATTCCTTTTTTTCCCTGAGAGTGGCCTTGCCTTTGTACTAGGGAGGGAGTTCAGTCGGCTGTCCCTAAGCTTTCTGCATCCACGCTCAAGAGTCCACTGATCAAAATATTTAAAATATATAGAAAGTTCCAAAAGCACAACTCTGAATGTGTTGCTTGCCAAACACCATGCTGAATTAGTGCCAATAAAGGGCTGTATAGGCACCTCTTAGAGCTGCCCACCCTGGCTACTTCACAGCCCCTTCGTTCCACCTGTAGTTGGTTGTTTTTACTCTTTACTCTTTTGCTCTTAGGCTCTTTGCTCTTTGGGGGGCCTGCCACCCAGCTCCCATATAAATACACACGGAGACTTATTATTACTTATAAATGCCTGGTCTTAGCTTGGCTTATTTCTAGCCAGCCTTTTTTAACTTAAATTATCCCATCTATTTTTTTTTTTTTTTGCCTCTGGGCTTTTACCTTTTTCTATTTCTGTATATCTTTTTTTCTTTCTCTGTTGCTGGCTGGGTAGCTGAGTGGCTGGCTCCTGATGTCCTCCTCCTTCTCTTGCTCCTTGATCTCTCCTCCCAGATTTCTCCTCCTCTTTTACTCTCTCTGCCTGCCAACCCTGCCTATCCTTTCTCCTGCCTTGCTATTGGCAGTTCAGCTCTTTGTTAGACCAATCAGGTGTTTTAGACAGGTACAGTAACACAGCTTCACAGAATTAAACAAATGCAGCATAACAGAATACAACACATCTTTGCATCATTACACAAATGTTCCATAGCATACACAAATGTAACACATCTTTAACTAATGTTCTACAATACCTGTCAT